AGGATGTGCGTTAGTTGATGGCCAGACACCTGCTTAGCTGGCACTTCATCTATCCTGTGCATCCGCTCCTCCCCTGTGGCTGCATTTCGCTACGGACTCCCTGGTTCAATCAACTGGCAATTTTTTGTGCACTATCACTACGCTGCTGCTGCTGCTGCTGCTGAAGGGACTTTCGGGCAAAATGAAAATGCCAAGAATATATCCCCTTGTTAAATATTACACATCAACAGCAGAAGCCGTTTCAGCATCAGCATTAGCTTCAGCTTTTGCTTTTGCTCCTGCTTCAACTTTAGCTTCAGCTTTTTGCTGGCTGCAGCGGCAGCAACGGCGCCAGCTTTTACAGCAATGAAAACAACGCGAATCGTTTTTATTAAAAATTTCATTTTCATTTGCAAAAGCGAATATGTGGCAAATATGAAATATGAGCAATAAATGGTCGAGCGTCCATCAAAGTCCTTGAGCTTACTGCTTCTGCTTCCATCCGCCGAGTGCGACTGGACACCACTTGCAATAGTGCTCTTTTGCCGGCGGCTAAAAATAATACCAGTAAAAAATATAAAAAAAATAAAACGAAAATAAAGACAAATAAGCGCCAGAGTTCGAAGAATTAAAATTACACAGACCAGTCGAAGAAAAATATGCGAAGCCCAAGGCAAGCGGAAGTGGGCCAACGAAAACATAGTACAGCAGATTTTCAGGCCAGCGGGAAGTGCCAGTGCCTCCATCCATCGGACGGGATTTCGCACGAAATTAAATGGGAGAAATCGAAACGAAAACACAGGAAAGAAGCTCGGGATATCGTCCCCGAGGAAAAATAGCTATATTATATTATATATATTATATAAACGTTTAAAAAAAAGGTACTAGTATCCAGCATGCATTTCATTTTTATAAGTCTAAGCCATAAACAATATGAATACATTCTTCACATAATAATGACTTAATGGTTTTTTTTTCAGTGCCCGTGCTGCACAATTTGTTACACATTAATTGAAGCAATTTTCGGACGTCTTTCACTGGAGTGCTTACCCCATCGAAACGTCGACTGCTCAAGTAATATGGCAGAACAATTTTTGATTAATTTAGACCCGCGGGCAGGGCTTTCCCTTACACTCACACACACTCTCATGAGCGGAAAGTGGCCAGGGAAAGAGGGAAACTCGAGTGGGCTCGAAGCACCGAGCACCGAGCACCAAGCACCGTGCACCAAGCATTCTGTGCGCAATTAGCCCCACAATGGACGAGCGCGTCGAGTGAGTGGCTCGCCGGCTGGCAGCGTGGAAAACTGGCTGGCAGAACGTCGCCAACAGGTGCGACACCCGGGCAAAACCCAAACTCAAACCCAAACGCAGAGCACATACTCGGGCAGCACTTAAAATTTAAAGCGTTTCGAGTGTAATTGCGCGGTTGCCGTTAACGAGCCGCTTGTTAAAGTCCAGCGATGCCAAAAAAAAAGAAGCGGAAAGAAAATCGCATGAGTAAGAAAGAAAAAACACTACTGGCAAGTCGAAACTCGAACTGCTCTTTCCAGAACTCCATTAAGTGCATTAACAATTTGTTAGAACATTTCTAACAACAACATAAAATGTTAACCTTTGAAATTTGATTGAAGAATTAATTAAAAAGGAACGGTTTGAATTTGCCTTTAATTTTTTCTTTTTTGATAAAAAAAAGTGAATTGAATAAAATAAATGAATGGAGATTTACGAAAGAGATTATGAATACGGACTTGTTAAAATTATCAGTTGATTAATTTACATTGCTTAATTTTAGTGGAATTGAATAAAGTTTAATTAACTAACAAATTTATTGTCATCGGTACTTCAAATATTAGAGTATTTTTAGTAGATTATTTGAATTTAGAATACCCCGTAAAAGGGTATAAAACGACAGCCAATTGTCGGGTAAAACCCTCGAGCAGAAGGCTGACTCCGTTTTTATCCCATTAAACGAGCTGATGAAGATGGGATGGGAGTTGGCAAGGCGGATACTGTTGCCTCCCCTTTGCTCTGACTTACTCAACGGCCCCGTAAAGTGCATCAGCACCATCAGCATCCCAACTTCGGCGGCGATATGCCGCGATGGTCAAAGGTGACCAGCGACATGGACATAATGGAACTCGATCCCCGGCCAAGGTTCCTCCTCCGTATGCTTTTGTTGATGCTGCTGCCCGGGCATTAATTAACATTTCAATGGGCCACCGCAGTGGAAGAATAATTTCATTGCATTTAACTGAACGACCTTAAAGTGCTCTGGAAAATGGTAGCCGCAGAGTGCGAGGTGGCGTTTTTCTGCGCACAATTCAGCTTTTAGTGGGGGGGAAATGGGTGAAGAGGGTGAAAAGGAGGCCTTGTGGCATACAATTTGGCGCATGCCGTCCAGAATTGTGCAAGTTCAACGGAAATTAAAACAGGTCCCGCCCGCCTTTCTACCTGCGTGTAATTCAGGGACTTTTCACATATATTTCATGTATGAAAAAAGCAAAATTCCGAGAGGCGTAAGAGACAACATCTGGCCAAATTAATCACAAATTGAAGCGGCTAATTGACACCTGGCCATACAACCAGGCCCAAGGCAATCGGTCAGTCAGCAAAGTGGCCACAAGACCGCAGCCTAAACAAACAAGCCGGGCCACAAAACATCCGAGAGATAAAAAAATAACAGCATGTACAATGTGCAGCAGGCTCAAAGGGTGCAAATGGAAAATAAACAAGGTTTATACAGAATCAACAACGGCTAACGGCAGGCTTAATCGGAGAGGCTTTTTTTTAAGGTTTCGCCTGATTGATAGCCCGATTGATAGATGGTCCAGGCCGAGTCATTTCGTTTCACTGCGGGTAGCGAGTAATTAATATTTACCTCTCTCATTGTTTAGCCTCTTGGCCGGCTTTCTTCGGCTTTCTACTTAGCTGAGCTTTTCCCTCTTTTCTTCAACTTACAAATTACGCACTAATTAAGCAGCTTTCGCCGGCTGCCATTTTTCAAAGTCATCCGCGCACTCAAACAAGGCCTCGACTTGGGTCACTAAGGATCCACATCCGCATCCGCATCCGCATCAGGGTCCGTCCCCATCCGCTGCTGAATTCGAATCAGTCGCTCTCACCTCAGTTGGCGAGTTGGCCAGTTGGCAGCGCATTAGGCGGCAAAAGTTAATGTGCATAATTAATTCACTTTTGCACTTTACCGCCCTCATTTTGTTTAGCGGTTGCTTTTGTTTGTTGCTCCTGCCCGCCGTTCGCATAAATCAGCCTGAAGCGCTGAGAGGCCGACAAGGAGGACAATTTTGAAGGTCACTTCAGCTTTTTCCCCAAATATTCATCATACGCCGGGTGTTACGCTTTCTAATTGTCTTTGCCAATGACACACCTGCCATTCCTCCACGGGCATGTAAAACAGTCAGAGCTGCAAATTCAATTGGCATAACATCGTGCACCATGAACAACTTTATTTGCAATATTTACTGCCAAATAATTGAATAGCTTTCAGCAGAGAAGCCACAAAGAGGGCAGAAAGAAGCCACTGATGCTGCGGAGGGGTAAAAACTGGGGGGTGGGTGGCATTTTAGGAGGCTCACATGCGCGACATGACTCGTCTAACATGCAAATGCCGAATTCAATAAACCCAATGGCAGCCAACAAATAGACCAAATTATTACATAGCCGCACGCACAAACACACGTGGCTAAAAGGGGGTCTTAGGGCCACAAAAAAAGAGGCGCTAAGCAGACCTCCTATCGAGCAAAACCGCTGAGCTACTTAGCAAACACCCAACCAAAAAGAACCCTCCGTAAGGGAAAACAAGAGTATGCCGACTGAAATTGAACGACAAAAGTGCGTGCAATTGGCAGCCATATTGCCATACGTAACCACCACCCACCAACCACCCACTCTTCCCTTCCCCCACTAAGTGGCATATACTTCTACTTATTGCGGCCATAAGTCGCTGGGGTCGTATGCGTGATATGAGTGTAAGTTAAACAGAATGTCGGTCCCACTTCTCCGCTTCAAATCGAGAAATTCTGCCCTCCCCTGGGGAGTTGTGTAATCATTTCTTGACTGACTGACTGAAATTCATTTAGGATACCCTTGCATTGCCCCAGCAAGCCAAGTTTAATATTTTTGCATCACAAACTTAAATTTTTCTATTTACTTTTCGTTGACCAGCAGAGCCGTTTGTTTGCCTTCATTCACCAGATTACTTTTGTTTTGTTTCATTTCTCGCCGGGGCCGGGCCTATTAATAAATTTCTCAGCTGGGAATTAACATTTACAGTTAGCTGACCGAACAACTTTGCCCGACAAACTTCAATTGCGTCACATTTATCAAATCGCTGGGCCCCTCGGACATTGTCGGCCGTTTAAGCAGCGCCCGGGGAATTGAAGTCCGCTCCACTCGCTCCCTCCCATTCTTTGTTCCGAGTTTTCAAACTTTATTTCTGACTTGCCACACAGAAAAAGAATTTGACAACCTTATGGTATAATCTGATTGGACTCCAGAAATATTTTACTTTATCATACACATATCACAAGTTTATTCAACAAACACAATTAAGTCAATATACTATGGTATGATTATGATTATGGTTTGTACAAAAAACCCAATATCCAATTAAAAACTCCTAAAGCTGTAGGTACTTATTTATTTCTTGTTTGATTATGTATTTTTTGATTACTTCTTTTAAAGAAAGCTTTGTTGATCCAATGTCCATTGTTATTTTTTCTTTTCTACTCTTATGAAATTCCATTATTCCATTCATATTATGAACAACATTAGGTTATAAAACATATGTAACTTTTTGTATACATTTTTAAACAAATAAAGCCTTTCTACAATGCATAAACCTACTACAAATTAATATCTTCACAACAAAAAAAACAAAAATTGTTTGGCATATATTGAGAATGTAACATTTTAAAATCAGTAACGAAGTAAGTTTTGACTTTAATTTTTAAGAATGTACTTGGAATTCGATTCAGTCAGTTTTAAATGAAAAAAAAAGGATTATTATCTTACGTTATTTAAATGTATTTTAAATTTTTCTCCGAGCAGCGTTTCGCTTGGAGAGATTTTGATTTTGACACTGAGTAAGTTCATAGTTTACACTTGCCATTTCGACAGGCGGTGAGTTCAGAGGTCTCCCGGCTTTAAGCCCTTTGCATATTTCGGCTGTCGGTGCCGCTCATAAATAATTCAAATAATTCACACGCTTACTTGAACGCTGCGTGCGTGCGTGTGTGTGTGTGTGGATCGAGAGTGTGTGTGGGTGAGCCGCATTATGTGGTTCATTGGTTTGAGCCAAAAACTGCAACCAGCTAGGAGCAACAGCAGCAACGGAGCAATCAAGTACGTACGATGCTGTTGCTGCAGTTAACTAAACTGAACTCAACTAAACTTTCACTGCACACACACACACACACGGGAACACCCCAGGACGCACACAAATGCAGCCGCACTAACATCAACAGAAACATCTATATAGGACTCTTGGTGGTTACTGCGGTTTGCATTTTCATATCGTTCCCTCTAATATTTCACAACAAGTTTTGTTGTTGCCTTGGCTGGCACATAAAAAGGCGAAGCTGCTGCGTTTTATGTTGTCACGTTGGCTTCAAGTGCCCCAAAGGGGAAAGTCGACCCCGCCCCCTTCCTCATCCGCTCTGTTCACACACCCCTGCACACACACATACGCACCCACACTGGCACCACCATTCTCAGCAGTTTATGGATTAAGTAAACACAAAGAGCACAAATGAACTTTCCCTGCTCTGGCAAAAATTTTGCAGTTTTAATTTTTGATTCCACTACGGACAGAGACTTTGAAAGCGAAACATATATGGCTGGGTTTTATGGGATCTGGGGACACTTCAATATTTTGCTGCACTCCACAATAGTGCACTTTCAGATTTAACTAGCAAAAAATACATAGCTAGCTTAACAAAACATATAACGATCAATCAAGCTAACTGTTGGAAATATGAAATCATTAAATTAGTTGCTTGAATTTATAAAGGCTATCGAAACAGATGATTTCAAATAAACACTGAAAAGTTGTTTGGTATTTAAAAAAATACCAAACTTATTGTAACTTCACAAATATTTTAAGTCCTCTCTAATTTGTGTGGCATGAACATGTGGTGTTGGGAGTTTCGACTTAATTATGCATTTTCAGTGAGCGATAACGAAATCCCTGGAAACTTTTAATGCCAGCACAAGTTTCTGTTTCTGTTTCTGTCCGACTGCCAGTCAATTTGTAGCATTTGAATAAAATGGACGCAGCTTATGTGAAGTTTATGATGTGCCAGTGCCTTGTGAATCGGGCAGACTGGGGCTTAGCCGTGGGTTGTATGAATGTCGTCTACTCCTTCTTCCTGTTCCAGTTCTGGGTGGTGGAGCTAGTCAAGTCACTCGAGAGTAAGTGTGGGTGTGGGTGTGGCTGTCACGGTTTCTGCCACAGAACTAACTGAAAACACTACCAATCGCTCCCAGATTATCCCGTCAAGTGGGTCTTGTTGTATGGATTCAACGTGATGTTTAATGTGATCACCATGATGAGGATTGTGAAAAGGGAGAGTGTGTCGGTCTTCTACTGGATGTGCGAAACAGCTGCCCTTTTAATATTTCGCATACACCACCTATATTACAATGAGGACGATTTTTGGCTGGCCAAGAGCAACTTATACCATGCTTCTAACATTGTTATCGATGGTGAAGGTTCTTTTGAAATTACAAAAAAAAATGATAAAATACAAACTTACTTGCAGTTTACACTGGCCTATCGATGCTGGCCATGATTTATGTCATATGTGGACTGCGTTTGGATCCAGACCGCCAAGTTCCCGACGAAGAAGAAATGCTTGACCATTGCAAATTCGACCCTCAGGCAGCTGCCGCCAAAGCAGCTTCCCAAAAGGAAAAGGTCTTAGAAAGACCATTGGTCAAAGAAAAAGAAGTGGAAAAATGTCAAAAACTAGCTGATCTCGTTGAGGAGAGATCTTTTTCCAGTCAGGAATTTACAATGCCCTGCGAACCCACTGCTCCCGAAGAGGAAGTCCACGAGATTCCGGAACCTTCAGCTCCTCCAGAAAGTACTTTTTCCTTCTATGAGGATTTCTCCTACGAGATCAATGATTTTTGTGTCTGCAACGATCAAGGAAATGACATATCATTGGATGAATAGATAGCGATAAGTTTTAGTTTCGCTTGCAGAGCAACATAAACAATCTAAATGAAAGTAAATAACGTCTTCACTTGACCCCCTAAAGTCTGACCGCAACTTTTGGCAACAAAGCCCCAACGGAGAACAACAAACAAACAAATGGAGGCAAACTTGACTTAACTTTTCCGAGGGGCTCGACAGAGGGATTGGGGGGTGGGGGGTGGTTTGTGTTGGAAAAGGGATTACGATCAGAGCGTTCGATTGAGTGTGTCAATAAATTCCTGACAGTCGACCGAGTGTAGAACATTTGTCCGGCAGCGGCGATAAATAGTTGCCACACGCTCTACGAGGAAAGGGGCACAGATCCCTTTTGGCCGGAAAGTTTCGTGTGAATTTAGTGCGGCTCATTAAGCCGGACAGTGTCAGTCATGTGTGTATGTTTGTGCCCTGGCAGCGGAATGCCGAGTACCGGGTGTCGGGTGTCGGGGCCAATGCCTTTTTGTTCAAACTTCATTAAGCCGGAGAGGAAATTGCCGGGCCATTGTCATTCGCACTGTCATTGCAGTAGACTTCGTTTAATAATGGCCTGCCGGGCATTTGTCAACGGGATGCTTTAGGAGTCGGGCTTTAAATGAGCGCGCTCATTAAGAAAATTAATGTTTGGGATTCATTAAAAGTGTCAAAGTGCGCACATTAAAATAATATAAAACACCGGGGAGGAGTGACGGCTCTCGTAACGAAGCAAGCGTCTCGACTGTTGTCGATTTTATTAACAAACAAAGCATTAAAGGCGCATAAAATGTTGACATAGCGCCGCGGCTTTGTTCCTGGCTGCTCATAAAACTGTCTCATATTGACGGCTCAAGAACACAGCCACACGCAGCCAGCCCCTGTACATGTATACCATATACTATATGCTATATAAACACATATCGTGTATCATGTCGGGGCATCTCATAAAACTAAACCGCAATTCATCAGTAAATTCCTTGCTCCTGCTCCGTGCTTCTTTTCTGGTCAGCCCGTCTGCCCGGGAATATGCTACAATTTAATGCGTCTCGTAAAATGCAAAGAAAAAAATTATTTTTATTATAATTATTATGTTATGCACGGTGACGGGGCAAGTTTATTGCGCTCGCACATAAAAGTCGAACCCTCGATGAAGTGATGATGCTGTCGAACTTTGGTCTTCGGTTTCGCTCTTCCCCTCCCAAAAACTTGATGGCTCTGCTTATCTCGGTGCCATTTATAATGGCAAATTATTTGAGATTTTCGCTTAACTTTAGCCATTTGAAACAATGACACACGCATTGAGCAAAGTCAACAACCTTCACTGCTGCAGCTTGCACTTTGTCCTTGTTATATCCTGCTGCTATTGCTGCACTGAAAGGAAAGAGTTTTAAATTGAAAAGGATTTTTACTTTATTAAAAGGTTGTTCTGGCCTTAATAAGGAAAATATAACTAATTAAACAGATTTAATTAGTTAATTTTATAGATTAACAAGGTTTCAAAAGGCTATTGGGTCTCTGGGTTTTGGTTTTCGTTAAACCAAAATAAAATGGCACTAGAAATAATACTTTGTTTGCTAAAACAAGTTCGTAAAATGATTTAATTTTTAAAATTTATGTTGAAACTAAGTATTTAAAAGGTCAGTTTGCTGATTTAAAGAGCACCTTTAAAAACATAATATTTATTCAAAACGCAGTCAAATATAAACTAGACTGAAGTAGAACCCAATTATTTCTATGAAACCACCAACAAAATATTTATTACCCGAAATTATATGATTGTGTGAGATTTATTGTATTCTTAGAATTCAAAGGTTTAAATATACTCACTTTGTAAGTTCATATTTTATAAATATTTTTCTGCAGTCTTAAAGACTTCTTCTATTTTTCAAAGGTACGTACATATACCTATTAAAGCCTGAAATCAAAGGTAAGTTTTGGTATGAGGTATCCCTTTTTTTGTCCGTGTGCTGTTGCATCTTGAAGGGGCCGCAAGTCACGCACTGGAAAATGCTTAACGCTCCCCAGCACACCACGCTTAAACTGAAACCGCAAAAGGAGGAAGGGGATTTAGAGTTTTACGTGCTGTTGCGGCGAAGGACGTCGCGCAGCCAGTTAAAGTTTCTGGCTCATTAGTATGATGCTTTAAAATATTAAAAGTGTGCAACTTGAGGGTCTCAAAATTGCACAAAGATAGTTACTTACGCGCACATTAAGATAGTTCCGGTCATAGAAATAAATTGCACTCTTTGCGGTCTAAATGCCACGGCATGGTTTCAATCTGGGCCCACGCGTCGTATGCGCAATGGGTAACCAATTGCAACAATCAATGTTTTATTGTTGAACAAATACGGTAGGCAAGTCCGGGGCTCCAGCCGCAAGCCACAAAGCCAGCCAACTTGAGAGTAGGAAAAAGCAGCAAAACCAGGAAAAGCCCGAGCAGGCAAATAAATGAAGGTCGTAATTATTGCCGAGGAAAATACAGAGGCCGGAACAGGGCCAAAATGTCACGTACTGGCAATAAACCGCTGCTAATTTACGATGCCCCGGACTGCTTCTGGTCCTGATCCTGGCCCAAGTCGAAGTCGCAGTCCAAGTCGAAGTCCATGTCGAAGTCCTGTTCCTGCTTGCCTCAGCCACTAACAAAAGGCGACGGAAGTCAAAAGGCAAACGCCTAAGCAGTTTGGCCAACTCGAGAACTCCGGAATGTTTCGCATTACGGCCGCTGCATAGAAATGGCCATCAAATTGACGGCGAGCGGGCGAACCTATCGAAACTGCCAATAAGCAGGACAAAGGCCTAATGCGCATTAGCCGCCCTGGAACGTGCATTAGATATATTAAAGGATGTCCAGCAGTCTGTGGACTTTGGACTTTGCGTGGAGCCTGCATTGTCCGCAATTGCGTTTTGTTTGCATCCATTAGCGGAAACGCACTGAGGCAGAATAGCGGCCAGCAGATTTTCCCATTTCCCTGGCTTAATTTCCAAAAAATAATTGCGCTGAGGACTCGAAACTCAACAGGCAGCGAAGAGCGCAGAGAGTAAAAATGTGAATTCGAGTTCGAAAAGTGGGTTCTCTTAAACTCGCCGCCGTGGAGACTTGCCACAATTTGCGTATAAGAGAGCGTTTTGCGGCGCCTGCGTCGGCCGGAAAAGTCTACAGGGTAATCAGCTGGTTTCGGTGATTCCGTCTGCTCGAAACGGCCACATTGAAGCAGTTTGTCAATAGTTACGCTCAGGACGCGACGCGTCCGCCGAACCGTTTAAAGAACGCCGAGCTGGAAATCTTAGAATTCTTCAAACATATTTAATAAAAATTTGAAAGACCCAACGTCAAAGACTGAAAACCAAAATCAAAACTAATCGCACTCACAGCTCTGTAAAGTAATACGGGTATAGAAAGCAGCTAAAATGCTTTATTTAATTCTTCAAGTCCCGCGAGTTACCTTTTTTTCTGAGTAATTAAATAACCAAAACAAGCGAGACCCGCATAATTAGCAGGCAAAACAGGAAAAACCCCCAGACTGAGTACAAAATCAAAAAAAAAAAAGATAAATACGAATACAAATACAAATCAGCCAAAGAGGCGAGGCGCACACAAACAACAAGCCGAGCGGAAGCTGTCCGCATATGGGTGTGTGTGCGGTGGTGGTTGTGTGTGAGTGAGGTCCTCCGGAAGCGGGGAACATCATCATCATCAGCATCTTCACATCCTTCGTGGTCGCCGCTGCTGTCGTCATCGTTGTCACAACTCGGCATAAATATTTATGTTGACGAATCTACCTGCGGCAGAGCGTCGCTAATGAAGCGGCCAAAATGAAAATGAAAGGACATAATTATGCTTATGTGTGAGTATAATGAATACGAATTGTATTCCACAAGGCCAGCAGGGGGCTGCCAGTGCACTTTGTTTCACGAAAAGCGCTCGAGGAGCTCGTGCATTTTGTTTGCCATCCGTCTGGCTGTATTTTCTGCTCTTGGTGCTCTTGGTTTGTTTTGGTTCGTTTGGTGCACAATTGCACTGTTCTTCGGGTAAGTTTATTGGTTCGCAACTTGATTGGTTGTGTTGGGTTGCAATTAGGCAACTGCATTAGGGAAAAGTTTCCGCTGGCAAGTTTGAAACTTGAGTGCAAATTGCTGTCGTCCAATCATCTTCATAAAGTTTGCGACACGAGTCCATGAACTCTGTCATTGTTTTGTAGCCAATCCATTGTTTCCATTCAGCCGCTAACTGAGTTATGACCCCATTCGACTAGCACACCCCATCCCCTGCTAATTGGTTTATTGTGCGAGTCATTCTGAGGACCCGGGGTGATCAAAACCAAAAGGCTGCTAAGAGATTACGCTGACACAACGGGAGCAGCAGCAGCAGCAGCAACAGCAGCAGCAACAGCAGCAGCAACGACAAAGAAAGGCCACTGCCAGCAGCAGACATTCAACAGAACTTTTTGTATATTTATTAGAGTATGAATTAATTCAAGTATGAGCCGTGTGTGTATGTGTGTGTGTTGTGCGGGGAAAGAGTTAAGCCTGCGGGGCACATTCTGAATCAGATTCGTAGAACGGATGGGAAGGGAAGGGGCCAGGGGAGGGCCACCGCAGCCCGACGCGATTTTCCTTTTTTTCTTCTTCATTTTTTTTCGACTATCCCCTAAGGCGAATTTTGTTGCAAACGTTAGCACATTTTTTTCACTCCACCCAGTGTGTGTATGGCGAATGTAATTCATGTACACGACCTTGGTATATAACAAAAAAAAACGAAAAAAAAAATGTTCCTGTGTGAGAGCAACAACTCGCTTTCATAATTAAAATGCAGAAATATATGTCCCAGGGTGGCGACCTCAGGATACCTCGCTGATACCTCTTTTTGGCTGGACTGTTCCACTAGATGCTTTTCAATGCACTCAAATTTTATAAGCCCTTATCTTTAAGTATACTTTTGGGCAGTAAAAATGCAAACAAACGCAAAAACTATAAATGCGGGTTTATATGATATGCTATGAAAGCGTTGCTAAACGTGCCTTGCTATATATTTAGTGCACTTATTAATAGCAGTTTCAGCTGGGGACCAAGAAAACCTCTGTTTACGATTACCTTGACTATGAAAATGTTTCTCACACATGAGCTGCTTGGCCATTAACATTTAAGTCTATGTTGGGGCCAGGCCGAAGGCAACAACTATTCAGCGAGGGTTGGGCGATGATTTCCCACGAAATTCGCTGCCAACGGAGATGGAGATTTCCGCCGACTGCAATCCATCAAGCAGCCTTCGCAGGCGTTGGCCCCAGTGTTCGCTTCAGACTGGTTAACTGCCTTCACCCAGGGACACCTTGACACAGACAAAGGTCAGGCAGTGTGTTGGGCGCACAAAGGGCAAGTGGCAGCCGAACCCAGCACACTCCCACCCACCCAAACAACCAAACAACCAACCTTCCAAGCAACCTCCATGACCGAGTGAAGCAGGAATGCAGATGACCCAGCGATTCAATAGTTTATTGTATTTTTTCGAAACCCCTTTGGTACGGCTATGCACATCAGTTTCGCTCCAAATTCTGTGGGCGGTTGAGGAAGGGGTTGCCCTCATACCTGTCGTATCTATAGGGCTCCCTTACTCCGAGGGAAAATCCGGGGTGGGGCAGCAGCAGCAGCAGCGAATAGAGCAGCAGGAGCTGCATCGTGAAGCCAAGTGTGAGCAGCCACATTTTGATTGGAACTGAGCAAAACAAGCTGATAGCACGAATAGCGTCAGCACACCGAAAGCAGAGTGTAGAAAGCACGGAGAGAAACGTTTTTAACAGATCACATTTATAAAACATAGAAAAATACTTAAAGATTTAAGTATATTTTTAGTTAAAGTTATTATTATTAGTTAAAAATATATTCTAGTTGACCAAACATTATTAGCAATATATTAATACTATCAGGAGTTTCACAGAAATCACTACTGTGTGGAAATTTATGCATTAAAATTTTAGATTTAAAGTATAATATTTATAGCCACCTTTTAAAGGGATTTTCAAACAACAGTATTTTCAGTGGAACAAAATACTAATTAAAATTGCTACATAGTTTTAATATTTAATTAATTTTCACTCAGTAATGTAATGCTTTTGCATATCTACATAAAATTTGTGTACACTAAGACATTATGTTGTTTATGCATAAATTGTAAAATCACTCAATTATAATGTAAACGCCATCCCAAACATTATAATTTAAGTGTGCGGGATTTTCCCAGCTCGCATCGAGATAAGGATGCTGGGGTTAAGGGGCTCACAGTGGGTTGGCAGCTTGTAAAAACTTGTGAAAGAGTTCGCTCGATTGAAATGATTAATTAATTGGTGGAATCGAGGTAAACTGAGCGCGTCGAGACGAGCATCATTTATCATGGTGTGGACTTAATTTGAACGCTTCGGCTTCACTGGGGAAATGAAAAATAAAACGAAAATGGTGTTATATCAGGGCGGTACATTATGATTTCGTCTAAGGTTTTTTTCCTTGCTTTCCATAGACCTATCTTCCGTTGTTTGCCATTCATCTCTGACTCCCCATTGACTCTCGAACCGCCCTGTGTTTTGCAGTTTACGTGTTAAGTGCTTGGCAAGCACGATTAAGGCGCTTTATCACCCGCAACAACGGCAGCAACACGAACGACAAGCACGCCAGCAACAGCAACAGCAGCAGCAGCAGCAGCGACAACAACGGCAACATCAGCAACAGCAACAGCTGCGACGGCAGCAGCAACACATCGCACTGTAGTCACACACATTGACACGCCCCCAATCCAGACATACCTACATACAAATCCATTGCCAGATATACACGAACGAGATGCTGAAAACTGTGACAACAGCAATGGCCGCCACGGATGACGATGTGGCAGCGAGCATTTTGGAAATAGAACTGCCAGCCATTTTGCTCAACGAGAGCCTCTTCATCGAGCTGAATGGCAATCTCACCCAGCTGCTGGACACGACCAGCAATCTCAGCCAAATCATTTGGAATCGCAGCGAAAACGGTTATGGCAGCGGCAACACATCGACACTCGACATGGACGCCGAGCAGAGGGCGGCGGTCGAGTTCTGGCTGCTGGTCAAAATGATCGCCATGGCCGTCGTCCTGGGACTGATGATACTCGTCACCATCATAGGCAAGTACTTAATCAAAATCAAATCCGAATTTAAATTACCAAACAAAAGGAAGTGTCGTTGGGGCTGGGGCATTAAATTATTCTCAAATTTATGCCGCCGGGATGAGGCTGGCAAAAGTTTCCATAACGCCGCCGAAAACTGAACTGTAAATGAAGTGAAATTTATGATGCAGAAGATTTTTATTGCGGCCCCCTTGGAAGATTTTTATTGATTTTTGGGCTTACAAAGATGATTTGCTGCCGCCTGCCCAAAGAAATGGGCTCGAGCATAGACCTGGCGATGGATGATGGGTGATGGGTGTCGGATGCTTAAGGGTGGCTGATTGTTTTGGTTGGCTGGATGATGTACGAGGAGTTCTTTGAGTTGGGCGCCGCAAGGATGCGAACCAAAGTTTCCAAAAATGTTTGCCGCGGCACGTGAAATGCTATTAAAACGGCGCCAAGGCGTCAAATGCAAATAACGACAAGCACACATACACTTTTGGCACACTAGAACGGTGTTGGTTGGGATACAGGGGAAAAAAATTAGTTCAGTAAACCTATTTCTTTTTTAAAGTAATTTCACAAAGAACAAAAATGAACTTGGCTTTCCATTTTTTACTGTTTTTTTTTATAAAGACATAAAAATGGAGACACTTAAATTTGTATTGCATAAGTCAACATGTCATTTTGAAATTCTGTAAATCGTAGGCTAAAATTAATGTACTGACAAGTCTATTTACCATTTGTATATAGGTAGGTGCATAACAGTGGTCCACATTTGTATGACAATTTTAAGGTTTTCCTCTTAACCGCCATAGTGTGTGCTCACATGAATTAAAGGCCAACCATTCAGGTGGTGTAGATTTGGATTTACATATTCGGAGTCCTTTTTAAGCGAAATCAATTAATTGACAAATCGAAAGTTTGAGACTAACCTCTAAAACTTAAAACAAATTTATAATTTTTGAAAGGATTCTTTGTGAATTAAAAACTACTATTAATGCCAAGAGTTCCTTTTTTTTGGCGACTCTAAGGTACAAGCTAAACATTTAATGTAAAGTGAATCAACAAAATTGTATTTCACAAACTGTTAAGCATGTCTCTGCTCATAATGCACAAGGCGACGTTGTTTAAATTACTTTGAAGCTTCTTGGCCATCTAAATATCAAAATTAACTCATCTGAACTAAGCATAATTCTGAAATTACCTTAAACGTGACAGAGTGTGTTTGCCCCAAAAGCCATACCGCACAAATCGCCAATTTCTGCAAGATTTTGCTACGTGTTAACACACACACACACCACACAGGTGCCGGCAGTTTGGGTGCCGAGGCGAGCACACGTCGTATGCGCAACATTTCCCCGGCAAGACATATGCAAATGCATTTTCTGGCTCGGGCCAAGCGACGACAAAACGTTTTGACAACCTGCAGACAAGCTCGCTGTCTCAGCAGCTCCAAAAGCAGCTCGAGCTTCGAGGGGGGTACGCCAGGGGGGAAGTCGAAGGGGGCTGGCGTCACTCTGGCTGCCATGGAAAGGGGGGTTTGGGTTTCGGTTTGGTCCAAGGTGTGGGCGAGAAGGGGAAAGGGGGGATCACTGCGGCAATTACAATTTGCCAAGTTGCATGCGCTTAATCAAAGCAAGCAACGACAATGATGATGGCGATGATGGAGCCGGCTGCCATCCAGTTTTCATTTGCATCCCACAGGCGAGGACGGCCAAAGAGATCCTGGAAAAGGAGAGCTGGGGAGGTGGCACATGCACGATTGCCAGCAATTAGGCTGGCAACTGAAGACTCCTTTGACACGAAGTCTTTGCCACTGATTGATTTTGCACGAATACATTGAAAGTTTTCCCTCCCCCCCCAAAAACGACACACAAAAGTTAATGACTCTGGCCACTCAACGTTTTCAGTAAACTGCAGACGAGCCCGTTTACTTATTCATCGCCGACGAAACGGAAAGCTTAGTGCTGCATTTACCGCCTCACTAAATATATTAATTTATCAATTTATCGCTTTCTGACGGCGTTTCTCTTCTCTGTTCCACTGTCCACAGGCAACGTTTTCGTAATTGCCGCCATTATACTCGAGAGAAACTTGCAGAATGTTGCCAATTATTTGGTTGCATCTCTGGCAGTGGCTGATTTATTTGTTGCCTGTCTTGTGATGCCGCTTGGCGCCGTCTACGAGGTAAGTTGAAGTTCTCCCCCACCTTACACAGAAAGAAACAAATACAAGTCAATGAAACTTGGCTAAAAAGCCAGTTTAGGAATTTATTCAAATTAATAGAGATCCCAGCGATACAAACACAATAGAGTTTTTACTGTTACTGAAAATCAAATTCAAAAATATTTATTTTTGTATGAGGAAATGTATTACTTATTTGAGCAGTAATTGTAATTTATTGTAAGCTAATATTACTAAAATGAGAAGTTTTAAATACCCAATTGTATTGTTCTGTGCACTGTCACTGCCATTGCTGAACCAACTCGATTACCCTAATGGAAACTTGAACAGGAATGCTGGCAAATGAAATTAGGCGCCAAAGAGTAGACACTGGCCCTGGGCCACCTCGTTTGTTGGACGGCTAATTGTTTCAATGACATCATCACTGGCAAACAATTTGTTGCTAAATGTCACTCCCTTTCTTCTTTTATTCCCCCTTTTGGATGAATGAAAACTCTCCGCCGGCAGATAAGTAATGGATGGATATTGGGACCGGAACTGTGCGACATTTGGACGTCTTGCGACGTCCTTTGCTGCACAGCATCCATCCTGCACCTGGTGGCCATTGCGGCGGACAGGTGAGTGCTGCCAGTCGGCTAGCTATTTTAGCTATTTCCCGGTCCCGGACAGATGGCAATTTGGTCCTCCTTCCGTTGCAGATACTGGACGGTGACCAATATCGACTACAACAATCTGCGGACGCCGCGCCGCGTATTCCTCATGATTTTCTGCGTCTGGTTTGCGGCCCTGATTGTTTCCTTGGCGCCTCAATTTGGCTGGAAGGATCCGGATTACATGAAGCGCATCGAGGAGCAGCACTGCATGGTGTCGCAGGATGTGGGCTATCAGGTGAGACATACTGATTGCAGTCATCTTCCGTTGGGGAGCATAGTTTGTGGCAATTTGTTTGTGTTAGAAGTGATACCATGTAGAAATATATAGACAAATTTAAAATATAAAACACATTTTTCTATAAAACTGTATGTATACGTGTAAATTGTAGTTATACATATGTGTTAATATGTATATTACTATAAAAAAAGCTATCGTTACTTAAGAAACTATACAATTTGGTATAAGACTATCTTCTATATTTCAAATTTGTCTTAATATTACTTAATAGCTTCTTCCTTAAATTAAATTGAACTACAATTTTGTATATTATTTAAATTTTGTATTTTAGCAAGCTTAGGTTGAATCGAATGAACTATTAAATAGTATTCCATATACTAACATTCATTCTATGGTTATTATAAATGATTTACCGATATGTTTTGATAATTTAAATTGATTAGTTGTAATAAAACTTTAATATTTGCACCCCTGATAGATATTCGCCACCTGTTGCACGTTCTATGTGCCGC